CACGTGTTACATCGACTTAGATTCAATTTGACTAACACAAGCAAATGCGGGGCCACAAATATCCCCCATCTGCCGGGGAATTGTGTTGATGTTACACACAAGACGTTTAATGGCTAGCTTGTTCGTTGTCAACGAGGGCGATGGAGACGCCATTGATACGCCATTACATGACTGAGTTCTGTCTAGAAGAAACGTTTGCGCATCGCGCTCGGGAAGAGGTTCTAGTTTTCCCGAAGCATACGGAAATTACCGAGGCCTTGCGAATGATCACTTTTGAAACAACGTCGCTGATTGCACAACTAAATCGGCTTGTCTCCAATCACGAGCCTTGAACGCTGACACCAAGAAAGGGTCGTATTAGAACAGAGGTTATGTAGGAAGATATGACAGGAGTAACCTCTGTGGGAAGAGAATGCAGTCACAATTGATTGACATGAGAGTGACGATGAGAGCTATCGGGATAGGTTTGTATGTTGAGGTACACTATCTTCTTATAAGTTTTCATTACTATCAATGCATCCCGCTAATATATGATAACATTCATGATAACAGCACTCCATGTCCAGCTCGTTAAACAACACAATAAAAATACAATTATTATAATAGACTCACTCAGCGGGCCCCAGCCGTTAAAACACCAAAATAACCAAATAAATGAAATACTAAAATTCACCAAGAATCTGCACGCCTCAGGTAAAAAAGTAGAGTGCAAAAGTGAGAACCGCCAAAACAGTGCCAATCTTAGTCTGCTAAATAAATCAGAACGGTCTCAGTGTTAGCATTGCCATATTGTGTGTACTTTGCATGTTTATTTATGTGGAATTGCTTCATATTTCTATTTAAATAGGGGTTTGTGGGATGGGGTGGGTGGGGGGTGTACTCCCCTAAAACCACGTGCGAAGAATAGCCGTGACGGGCAGACGGGAATTACAAAATAATTGATCACAAAATATTAAAACGAAACGTGCGAACCTGGGTAGGTACACCTCGCAAGTGTGGGGTTGCCCACGATAGAATTTATTCAACAATGACAACATACCAAGTGTCACGTAGAATAAAAACACAGTTTGCATTTTTTTCCTTTGTGAGAAGGTTTGACAATGCCCTTAGCTCCTGAGTGGTGACGTGTGACGTCCTGGACCGCAGGAGGTTTATGCCCGGACTGTCGACTGTCGACAGTCCGGGAAAAGGGAGGTGATGTTCTACATGAGTGACTTCACTCCCAGTGTTCTCGAATTAACAAACTAATTAAAACAGAGTGTGATATATATAGTAGACAATATATTTATTCAGTCAATATAACAACATGCATGTATCATATGTCACATAATATAGCATATTTGTTCATATATTTCATAAATATAAATATTCATATAAATAAGTAATTTCTGCAGGTGTATAAGTAATAAATATATAAAAGATGAGTCCAGTTATTTCTTCTTGCCAAAAGTCGTTTATATGTGCACTAAAGTAATCTGAATGTTCAGCCAAGATGAAGCAACTCTGACACATGGTCTGTGTAATTCAAGTCGGTAAGTCTGTCGGCAAGAAGGTCGGCCTTCAAGGATGCAATCCTAGCGTCGATGATTCGGTAGCGACGTCTACGGACGAGTTCTCTCTGCTGTCCTTGGATCTGCTGAATTTTTACTTCAGTAGATGACTGTTCTTTTTGTAGCATTCGCACAACCTCAAATACATTGTGATGTGTCTTCATGGCATACCTTCCAACCTTCCAAATTATTGTTAGTTCTGTGTCCATCATTTTCAAAATGACCTCTGAATGTTGTCAATCAATGTAACCCGCACCATAGCATTTGCCATTTTGACAGTGGTAACAAAATATTCATGATCTATTATATATACCCACATGCGAAATGTTTACAAAAGCATTTCGATAATCCTTCTACTCCGTTTCTCATGTTGTTGCATGTTAAAATCCAAAATGGTAATCCTTCCACTCGCATAACGTAAAATAATAATCTGTTTTTGCAACCTTAATTCTCTTGCAAATTGTTAAAACGACATTCTCTTTAATCTACTTAATTCATTTACTCATGATACGAGCATAGCTGTAGCCGCCATGGCCACTTGCAACCACTAAGCAAACATTCTCACACCGTCACGGTATGTTGACCACGCGATGTCGACATTCCGGGTTTTTTGTTTTGTCGACAGTTAGGGACATCCTATTTTTTATTCGACAGATCGGGCTGACACCGGGCAGGAAGTGACAGTGTATTGATTTCTCTCCTTAATTACCCAGTTGGGGCTCCCTAATTAACCCGTCGGCGAAATTGGCTTACGCCAGAAGCCGACGTTAAACATTTAATTTCGTCGTCGTCTAATTAACCTTTATTTGTTCTGAAGCAGCATAGACTATTTATTTTATTTGGAAGTGGTTATTGGCAAATGTCAATAGGATTGACAAGACATATTTCAATACAGTTAAAGCTCTCACAATACTGTTTATGTTACAAGAATTACAAATTAAAAGTAATATTTCATATTCAACAATTTCTTAATTTTGACTGTTCCGACGTGTATGTTTTGATATTATCTGTTCGTACACGCATACCATTGACGAGCCACATTTCCAATTGCACTGAGTTATTTCGCATGTTGTACGTTAACAAATTAATAAATAAGCTACTGTACTGGGGCTTATCTTGCTGTGATTTCTGTTCTGTTTTATGAATCAATGTATCATTGAAGCAGTATGTCAGATACAGTTTCCAACACAATGTAGTACCTTTGTGTTGTTCTGCGAAGCCATATCACATAAAAATGATAGAACTCTGGATCATTCGCAGATTGTTGCGAAGCGGCATTTTTGACCATTTTCAGTCATCACTCGATCCTGAACTGGGTCACTAGTGTTATGCCCTTGGTGGTAAAAAACGATGCTTTTTCAGTGCTTCTGTATTCTCAAATCATCTACTATACAATATCACGTCATACTGTAGTTAGATAACTTGTTCCATGGCATTACTTCCTATGTTTTAAGTGCCTAGTGACTACATATGATGATGATTATGAGTTTAACGTCAGCTTCTGGCTGTAGCCAATAACGCCGACAGGGTAGGTGGGAGCTAAAGTATTAATTAATATGTCTATAATAAGGGAGAAACCGCCATACCCCAAAAATGTAAATGATGGGGTGTTAACCTAAGTGAATTTTGAATGAAAACGGCTACAAACATGATAATAAATATATGGCGGCGTCTGTAAATAATCGAGTCTGGACCAGACAATCTAGTGACCAACAGCATGAGCATCGATCTGCGCAATTGGGAACCGATGACATGTGTCAACCAAGCCAACGAGCCTGACCACCCGATTCCGTTAGTCGCCTCATACGACAAGCATGGGTTTCTGAAGGCTCATTCTAACTCGGACCTTCACGGGTAGACAAGCATGGGTTACTGAAGGCTCATTCTAACTCGGACCTTCACGGGTAGACAAGCATGGGTTACTGAAGGCTCATTCTAACTCGGACCTTCACGGGTTTAATTTGGAAGAAGAAACGTCAGAAACCCAAAATGAAAAAAGGTGAAGCAGATGATAAATGAGTGTAGATAATTGTAGGTATGACTAAGCTGATAGCAAGGAGTATAAATTGATAATGGTTTGGAATTAAGAAGATGGGTTCGGGGTATGGGGAAGGAAGGACTGGGGGCGAAAAGAAGTGAGAAGGTTATCTTAGCCATTATGTGTGTAGAAGGAGTAGGAGTATAGCTTATGAATTTGGTAGTACAGTTAAGCTGCAGCTGATAAAAATACAGGGTCCTAATAACCAAATTAAATTGGGTTACACTTTTACTGTAAGCATAAACGTTGACCTATGGGGCTTAAAGAGTCGAGGTAGGGCGGCTGCCGAGTTTGAGCACAGACAATCACTTTGGACTTATGGGTGGTCTCTGTTTTGTCATCACGTGGACTTATATGCTGATAACGTACACTGAAGTATACAGGCTTGACACTCTCAAACGTCATGATACTTGACAGCCCTGGCAATCACACGACACAAGCCAGCAGTGCATGATACAGAATGATACGGGCATGTTGGAGTAGTTACAGATATAATATACAGTTGGAGATAAAATTATGTAATCTGCTTTGAATGTATCTGGACGTCTGTGGTGAGTCTATCGGCAGTGTCTGGTTCGTGCAACTTGATTACTTGCCTGTAAGATAGATGAAAGTAATCGTGAGAGACCTTTATCATCTTTGTTCGCACTTTGTTCCAGTAACAATACGTTAAAATCTTGATAGTGTTCTGACACTTGTCCTCTATCTATTTTTTAATATCGTTCTAAGTTAGTTGAATTAAGTCAAAATGAGTTGAAATTTGTGACATGATGCTTATAAGCATACACTCATTCATTTACAACCTCTAAAACATAAATTTTGAGCGAAATTAAACATTCTCGCCCATGTGCGAGATTTTTAATATCGCCCTAAGTTAGTCGAACTAAGTCAAAATGAGTTGAAATTTGTGTCATGATGCTTATAAACATACACTCATTCATTTACAACCTCCAAAACATGAATTCTGATTGAAATTAAACATTCTCGCCCATGGGCCACTGTTAAATGAGCTAGTTTAAATTTCCAGTTTTCGAAACAACTGCATGTTTCATTTGGTCAAATCTCTTGTCATGAAGTGCCCACAGTGCGGAGAGTTTCTGGACTTTTGTGAGTCTGATTTGTTGACAAATTAAAAACCGGAAAAAAACCGTTCCGGTATTTCTTTCTGCAGTATACATGAAAATATGTTCATCCGTGTAACATTCAAGTTGAGTTGAGTTGACTTGGCTTTACGTCACATCGGCATTATTTCAGCCATATAGTGACGGGAACAAGTCTGCGTTCAGGAACATTTCAATTTTCACATTCAATTATCTATTTAATTGCTTCATTTATGTAATCAATATAATCCATTTTTTCGATTAGGGAATATCTATAAATGAGAGAAATATATCTACCCTCTTTTTCCACAGGAAAGGCGAATTTCAACCTTGGTTTTTCGCTGGAAATTGATGCAACGTTTTCCAGTGATCTAAATGAGAAGACTTCACCCGCCTATTTAAACTACTCAGCTGCATTCAAAGAAAAGGTAAGTAGGTGGATAATAAGTTTGCTGGGCCACACATTTGCTTTGCTTTTGTTGTCTTTGACCCAGGTGTTTGTGAAATGTTCATATTATATTTTCAGAGATTATAGGTTCCTGGTACTGACAAGGGACATGATTTACCAGTAGTGACAAGCGGACCACCCATGTGTGCCTATTCTTATATAGATGGTATAACTTACGTAAATTTACATAAACTTTAAACGTTAATCCCTACCGATTGTGTCACTAAATGCATTGGATTTCTTTTCAAATAGTCTGGTATTCTAATATGGCTTTTTTTCGTATGCTAGGACACACACGGAGAGAACGTCGTTTAACACCTGTCATGGAAAAAGCCGCTTTTAGCAATATTCCAGCAATATCACAGCGGGGGACACCAGAAATGGGCTTTACACATTGTACCCATGTGGGGAAGCAAACCCGGATCTTCGGTGTGACCACTGGTAGGGAACTTGGTCACAGTAAGAGTGGAGTCTTTGGGATTTTTGCGACGGAAACTTTGCGATATGTCACTGAGTCTTTGTGATTTTAGCATCAGCAAGGGAAGGGTAAGGTACGGTAAATGGCCTGTATGCCTACAAAATCAATATTACAAGAGAGTTGAATTCACATTTACTTACAATAGGTTTCCATCAGTAACAAGTAAATATTATGATGTTCAGAAAGCTACTGATAATCATGTACAACCATTAATTTTCACGAAATTAATCCTTTTTTAATAAATAATCGGTATATTATGAGAATATGACTCCATAAAGAAGTGTAAAAATAATACAAAGTGTTCCGATTAGGGTTTATTCCCTTTCATCATAAAGCTTGTGCTGTGTGATCAGCGAAAAAGAGCCTACATATCAATTTCCATGCATTGGTCTTATGTCACAGAAACTTTGTGATTACGAAATTGATGTAACGAAAAATTCACTCATTGTCACAGGTAATTCCCAATCACAAAAAGAAGTAGACGGGTTATGAATCGTCCAATCTGGTCCATGAATCCGATTTGGTAATGTCATTGTTAATGAGTTAACCAACATTTATTCATCTCATTGCCGTGACCGTTCGCCATTGACGACCTTGGCCTTGGTCTGCCAACCCCCTGTAAATTGCCCGCGTCCTCATTGACATCTTTTATTTATATCCGAATCCGATCTCTCTGTTAGTGTGTTTTTGTGCATTGCGTTTGGCTTGATCTTCGCTATTGATGTTAAATGACGCATTTATAACAAGAGCCAACAAAAAAGAGGGATCACTTTATCAATATTGCCTTAAATACATATTTTGCTAAAATTAGACCATGCACCCAGATTTTATAGAAAACATATGATATTATGACAATACTTTCTGAAAACACCACTTTAATGCTAAAAGCACAAAGCCCTCAATGTAATGACTTAAGACAGGATCTTTCACGCACCACTCACTTTTTGGTACATAAAAAAACACTGCATGTTGTAGTGTATACCTTGAAAACCAAATTGCGCATATCAAAATGGTACCTTTGATGGCACAATCTGATTGTCAAAGAGTTCCTCAAATAAACATTGTTGTGATTGTATTAACCACCTCTGCGATCAAGTCAACACCTGGTGTTTCCACCCCTCACACGGATAACATCTGCCAGTCTCCTCCTCATACTAACAATCAAGCGTCGAATTCTCAGCAATGGAATCCTTTGTCATTCCTCATAGAATGGCTGCGTCAAATCCTGCAGATTGTAACAGGAGGATCGCTAACTCAAACTTGGCGTCCAAGGCAGTCCGCAAAATGTTTTTTTGCAATCAATCAATCATCCTTTAGATTACCATAAGTTTACAAATACATGCAAAGCATCATGGGGGGTATTTTTCAAAAATATGTCACTTTTAGGCTATGGCTAAAAACAAATCCAGCAATTATGTACAGGTAAACTAATCATGTCATGTTGACAGACATTATAATGGAAATAAATTTACATAGATTTCTTAATTACTTCATATTATGAGTTTCAAATAGGGCTGCCATTTTATAATAGTTAGGGTTGTTTACATAATAATTCTTTAAATACATATTTCTGGAAGCAGTAAATTTATTACATTGAAATAAATAATGAAACTCATCTCCGAGTTGGGAGGGACATGACGGACAGAATCGTTTATTTGAGGGAATATTTTCCCAGCGACCTGTTTCAATAGGTAATTTAAGGTTGGCGGTTTTAAATTTGATTAAAATATTACAGTGCTTTGTTCCTAATTTACGTTCCAGTAAAGAGATATCATAATGAGATTTCATACATTCGTAGATAACAGCTTTAGAGGAAGATGTTATGGGGTTGTTAAGCAATTGAAGCGATTGATCTGAGATTCTAAGTTGGACAGCATTTTTGAACCAAGGAAAGGAAACTATATCTTGAGAGTGCCATATATTGGACATACCAATATTACCTAATATGGTTTTAATGTAATTGAGCCATTTATAGTTGTGGTTGTATTTCATTGAGTTTGTTAATGATATTTGATATAATGCTGTTAACGTAGAATTACATTTTCCGCATACTATTTTAGACCAGAAACACAACATGCGCAGTTTGATTTTATCAATAAGAGGTGATCTCCCTGTTTCACGATGCAACATATCTGTTGGGGTACTGCGTCTTAGGTTTAAAATATATCTAATAAAATCAGTATGAATCCTTTCAATTGCTTTTACATTTTCAAATCCCCATATATGTTTGATGGGGTTCATATCGGGGTTCCTTGCGGGCTATGGTAATGTTTCAATGGCGGTGATGTTTCAGATATGTTCAAAGACACATCCAAATCCGATTCACTGTCCTGATTGACGAATCATACCCCATCTACTCCATTTTGTGATTGGGAATTACCTGTGATAATCACAAAGTTTCTGTGACATAAGACCAATGCATGGAAATTGATATGTAGGCCCTTTTTCGCTGATAAAACAGCACAAGCTTTATGATGATAGGTGAGGTGAGGTGAAATTGGGTTTTACGTCGTGCTTGAGAATATTTCGCTCATATGACGACGTGCATGCGTGTGTATGTGTATGTGCGGCTGCTTGTACTAGCCCAGACTTAAGCTGGTTTTATAGTGCTAGCCCACTGAGATACCATGCCGCAGTGAAGCATGAATACCCCACTCAGACACAGTATACTGACTCCGAGCCGACCAGTCCTTGTTGTACCCATTAATGCCGAGCGCCAGACAGGGACCAACAAGTACCATACTTTAACGTCTTTTGGTATGACGTTGTCGGGGATCGAACCCACGACCTTCCGCTCTCCGGGCGGACGCTCTAACCACTACACCACGGAGGCGGTCTATGATGATAGGGGATAAACCCTAATCGGAACACTTTGTATCTTTTTTACACTTCTTTATGGGGTAATTTGTCATAATATATCGATTATTTATAAAAAAGGATTAATTTCGTGAAAATTAATGGTTGTACATGATTATCAGTCACTTTCTGAACATCATAATATTTACTTGTTACTGATGGGAACCTATTGTAAGTAAATGTGAATTCAACTCTCTTGTAATATTGATTTTGTAGGCATACAGGCCATTTACCGTACCTTACCCTTCCTTTGCTGATGCTAAAATCACAAAGACTCAGTGACATGTCACAAAGTTTCCGTCGCAAAAATCCCAAAGACTCCACTCTTACTGTGACCAAGTTCCCTACCAGTGGTGACGAGCGAACTCTTTAACCACACTTATAAATCTCAGATTTTCTCTGCAGTAAAGTAGGTTCCTGCAGAATCGGGTGGAGCTCTGCCGTGAGGTTAATGAATAAATAACTTTGTCTGTGAACGTGCTTCTCGAACACCTGGCTGTCCCTTTCTCTGCACTCCTCCCTCGTAACAAACAGTGAACTGTGTCAATATTTTAATGATAGTTTGTTAAACAACTTTATTACGGAGTACGTGCATTGCGAGGCGTCGGCTGCCAGTCTCATCCCAGTTGATTTCAACAGTAGTGAGTGAGTGAGTTTAGTTTTACGCCGCACTCAGCAATATTCCAGCTATATGGCGGCGGTCTGTAAATAGTCGAGTCTGGATTTCAACAGTTAATACCAAATATTGAAATTATATCTGAAGTATACCTTCGATCGGTTTATAAGTTGGATAGAACATGACCTGTGGGCATTATTAAAAAATGTTTTGGGCATTTCCCGTGGGAAGCGGGCTTACTTTTCAATAATGCCCGCGGGTCATGTTATAGTGAGTGAGTGAGTTTAGTTTGACGCCGCACTCAGCAATATTCCAGCTATATGGTGGACCAGACAATCCAGTGATCAACAGCATGTGTCAACCAAGCCAGCGGGCCTGACCACCGGATCCCGTTAGTCGCCTCGTACGACAAGCATGGGTTACTGAAGGTACATTCTAACCCGGACCTTCACGGGTTCATGTTATATCCTATACATAGCAATGTTTATCTCGGTCATAGCATTTTGCACAGGTTTACCCAATCTGTTCGGTTTACACTCACTTTATAACAGAATCCCTGCACGTGCCTAACGCATTCATCTTACACATGAACAGACCCGTGGAATTCCTGGTTAGTCATCAGCAACCCATGCTTGTTGTAAGAGGCGACTAACGGGATTGGGTGGTCAGGCTCGCTGACTTGGTTTATACATGCCATCGTATCCCAATTGCGTAGAACGATGCTCATGAAGTTTATCAAAGGATTGTCTGGTCCAGATTAGATTATTTACAGGCCGCCGCCATAAAGCAGGAATATTGCTGAGTGCGGTGTTAAAAACATTAATACACCGGGCAAGAAAGAAGATTTTGTTGTGCTTCATATAATGTACAAATCTGGTTGTGATGGGTTATCTTCCACGTGCAGGAATCAAATCAGCTCTGATTCGCAAGCGTTCTGTATGATTTCTAAGCCTAAACTTTTACATGTAACTAACTGTACAGGCGCAAATCAATACAATATTCTATTACCCGTATGGTGAAACATAACCAGTGTCATGTATATACCATTGTTTCAGTATTTCGTCGTCTGTAAAATGTATTACAACATTTCACACTCGTTTCGCATAAGTCGTATGCCACACTTGCTCGTGTAATAATCTCTATGTATGAGATCGGTTGCAGCTTGCCAGTCGGGCGTCATTACGTCCAAGAAATTAGCTCTAAAAGCAGCAATATCCGATTTTTAACGCCGTCATGTTCGGGCTAACCAATAATATTTGAACCTGAACTAGACCCTATAAGCAGGGCATGGTCGATAATGTAGCATTGTCTGATGCAAGACACTGGTGGTAATGCTGTGGTCGTTTTGACGGGCTGGTCGTATTTTGCATTTTTGTGTGATAAAAGTCTAACTAGGTTGGTTGGAACAGAAATGACATAAAAGATTAAGATTATTTTTCTTCAAACATTTTTTGTTGAAATATTGCCAATATGCGTATTGTTGATTAAGTCGGACGTGTCAGTGTTGAAGTTTAAAGTGTTTTATTCTTATACTAATGTGACCTACTTTGATTGCATTCTATATATGACTGTTGCTCAGATCGTTCCATTTCAGTTGTCAGAAACTGTGTATTTCTTGTCAGAAACTTGTATTTCTTGTCAGAAACTGTGTATTTCTTGTCAGAAACTGTGTATTTCTTGTACATCGTATTTTGCATGCTTTCTAATAGTGAGTGAGTATATTTTTACGCCGCTTTTAGCAATATTCCAGCAATATCACGGCAGGGGACACCAGAAATGGGCTTCATACATTGTACCCATGTGGGGAATCGAACTGGGTGTTCGGCGTGACGAGCGAACGTTTTAACCTCTAGGCTACCCCACCGCCCTGCTTTCTAATAATAAATTTGAACGCAGCTTGTCTTGTCATCCCTACTTGATCATCAACATCTGCTTGGTGTTTCAGATCTCACTAGCCTTTCTGGGTGTTCCTGGTTTTAGATACATCATTATTAATGAGTTTCGGTAAGATTATGTTCTGTTTATATAGATCACACGTGAACGTCAGGTTGAGAAATGGTATTTAGCAACATACGCTTGTCGTCTAAAAGGATCTGATAGTCAGGAGCGTTGACCTGGTTGATGTATGTCATCGCAACTACCGAATCTCGTTGATCGATGCTAATGATGTCAATCACCGAATTACAGTCTTTGAGTGGCATTTGGAAATGACACAAATAACGGGGAAATTTATGGATGTCAACTTTCGTAATGCGTGTCGCTTGTAAATGCCATTTGAATATGCTTCAAAACGTCATGTTGCTCATGTCATTCAAGTCATGTCATGACATGACTTGAATGAGTTTAGTTTTACACCGCACTCAACAATATTCCAACTATATGGCGCAGGTATGTAAATGATTACGTCTGGACCACACAATCCAGTGATCAACAGCATGAGTATCTATCTACGCAACTGCATACGATGACATGTGTCAACCAAGTCAGCGAGCCTGACCACCAGATCCCTTTAGTCGCCTCTTAAGACAAGCATGGGTTGCTGAAGACCAATTCTAACCCGGATCTTCACGGGTCGACATGACAAGACATTGTGTGAGTGTAAGAAGCGTGAATGAGCAAGATCACTAGGCTGTCCAGTGTGGGCTCTTTCCGTAACGTTGTTCCCGGTCTTACCAAAGGTTTGTGCACATGAACCAGACCTTCTATGCGTCATGTGCATAGTTTGAAACCTAAAGGTCTGCCTCATGTGCAGACACTGTTCTGAAGGCATTTTGGTTTTATCATTCAAAACTGCTCGCTCAATCACACCCAGTGCAAACTGGTCGTATCGCCTGAATACACCCGGAGATGAGTGCACGTGAAATCCGAAGTAGGTTTACACATACAAGACGGTGGTCAACGATTCAAAGTTCATTTTCATCTTTAAGAGAATCACATTTAGTTCCTTGTAAATCATCCATAGTTTTCTCACTTACAATAGTTGTCACGTTTAGTTCCTTGTTTAGTCCAAAGGTAAGTTCAAAAGTTTAGTTGATTAGGTTTTCAGTTACATTGCATAGCTCTCCACCATTGTTTTTTTCCACTGCGCAACATTTGGTATCAGAGCGTGGTTTCTCTGGTTAGAATATTCACTTATTTTTTTTGTATCAGCATTTAGTTCAGTTAGATTAGAATAAGACATAGAAATAGTTACTGTGAAACTACTATTCACTATGTCAGAGTACAAGCCAACTGCTAAGCGTATGGTAGAGGTTGCTCCTGGCGACATAGAACTGAGAATAGCCAAACTTAAGCATCAGAAGACTGTATCAAAGTCAGCTTTAACTAAAGCAAAGAACGAATTGTTGAATTTAGTTGAGATTGCGACTCCAGATCGTAAATCTGATAATGCTGAAGGGTTTCTTAGAACCAATGCACCTGTTAGTTCAGATGCAAATAGCAAGGCTGCAATATCAAGGTTATTTCATTCTGACACAAGTCATTCGCATGAGAACTGTTAAGGTTCACAACATGGTTCAGGCGTTAGTCAAGGTGACAATCCTCCTTCACCCAACATAGGCTATGTTCCACAAAAGTCAAATGTGGTTAGTAATCTTCCACACGTTTTGCTTAACACCGAAGGGTGTTATTCCTCTTCAGGTAAGTCATCTAGGCAGCACAATTTAGGTGAAGACATGTGGAAACAATTGGAGCGAGTATCAATTCCAGTATTTTATGGTGACACTGGAGAATATGAAGGCTGGAAAGCTGCTTTCATGGCATGTGCTGATAAAGCCCCAGCCACAAATGAGTGTAAGCTTCTGCAGCTTAAACAGTATCTTTCTGGTGGAGCAGCACAACGTGTAGGTAAGCTAGGCCACAGTGCCTCAGATACTGATGTGGCCTTAGAAAGGTTGGATAGAAAGTATGGCGGCAAACGACGTCAGATAGCACTGAAACTGGAAGAAATATATAATTTCAGGCCAATAAGACCAGGGAATGCTAAAGATTTGGACAATTTCGTTGACATGCTTGATGTAGCTGTGGTCAGTTTGATGGAATCTGACAAGATAGAGGAACAGGGAAGTGGGTGTTTGTACAGAGCTAAGGCAAGGCAATGTCAGGTTTGTCATGGAACAGATCATGACACGTGGGGCTGTGCACAGTTCAAATCTCTTGGTCTACCTGAACGGTGGGATAAGGCAAAACAGTTAGGTTTATGCTTTCGCTGCCTTGACATCAGTCATCAGGGTCAATCATGCAGTAGAATTGTGAAATGTGGGCTTGATGGCTGTAAGGCAAATCATAACAGGTTACTTCATGACAACAGTAAAGTGACCAGGAACAATACGGCTGACAGTGGTACTTCAGAGGTTAATGATACAACCACAAGAAAGACTCACGAAAGCAGATCAGAGACAACCACTTTGTCAACTTCTAAACAGGAAGCACATTATCTTGCTCTTAGGACAAATCCTGTCGTTCTTAAGAATGGTAATCACAGAATGACTGTGAACGCATTGCTTCATGATGCTAGTACGCATACTTACATCAACGAGGATGTAGCATATGACTGACTGACTGAGTTTGGTTTTACGCCGCTTTTAGCAATATTCGAGCAACATCATGGCGGGGGACACCAGAAATGGGCTTCACACATTGTACCCATGTGGGGATTCGAACCCGGGTCTTCGGCATGACGAGCCAACGCTTAAACCACTAGGCTACCCCACCGCCCCTGTAGCATATGGACTTGGTGTGCATGGTAATAGACAACAAGTGTCGGTCAATGTCCTGAATAATAAACAGGAGACCTTTGACAGTATGCTAATTGATGTTGGCCTAGAGAGTATGGATGGTTCAGTAGACATGACCATTACAGCTTTGACAACTACCAAAGTAACAGGTAAAATGGAAGTTATTGATTGGCGTAAACATGTCAAGCAATGGCCACATTTGAGGAATATTCAATTGCCAGAGGTAAGTTCTCGGCCCTTAGTTGACATCCTAATAGGTATGGACTAGTTAGAGCTGCATTCTTCTCTCAAAGAAATCCGGGGGCTTCCAAGAGAGCCAGTAGCTAGGTTGACACCTTTAGGGTGGACTTGTGTGGATCAGATACCAGGTTTAAACAGGCATGCAACACATGTTGCAGGTTCATTCTTCATCAGGAATACAGAGGTAGAAGCAGATATAAATCTTGAATCTTTGATTCATTCATTTTGGGAATCTGAAAGCATTTCGGGCTCAACAGTTAGAAGTCTTGATGAGGATGTTGCAGTTAAAGCTGTAAAACAATCTCTTGTGTACAAAGAGGACAGATATCAGGTTGGCATTCCATGGAGGAGGGTCGTGATAGTCTGCAAAACAATTATGACATGGCATACAGCCGTCTTGTCAATATAGAAAAGAAGTGGTCAAAAGATCAAACCATTTCAGAAGCCTACAATCACGTCATAGAACAGTACAAACAAAAGGGCTACATCAGAAAAGTACCTGAAACTGAAATAGGTCAAAGTAAATGGTTCTTGCCTCATTTTCCGGTCATTAAACCTGACAGAAGTACAACAAAGGTAAGAATAGTATTTGATGCTTCGGCAAGGAATAAAGGCATAGCCTTGAATGATGTCATTCATCAAGGCCCCAAACTACAAAATGATCTGTTTGAGATCTTGCTGCGGTTTCGGAAACACTCTGATGCAATCATTTGTGATGTTGCGGAAATGTACCTCCAAATTGAACTTGCTCAGGATGACCGTCCATATCTAAGATTTCTTTGGCGATCGATGGATCAAAACAAAAAGCCAGATGTGTTTGAGTTCTCAAAGGTTGTATTTGTGTTAAAGTGTTCTCCCTTTTTAGCTCAATATATCACTCAGGAACATGCAAATTCACTTGAGAAAGAACTTCCATTAGCTGCACCTACAATAGAAAAGTCAACCTATATGGATGACAACATTGATTCTACAGAGACCAACAGCACAGCTATAGAGCTCTACAAACAGTTGCGACAGCTGTGGAGTACTGCAGGAACGCATGCTCGTAAGTGGGTCTCTAATTCCTTACCAGTTCTCCAAGAAATATCAGAAGAAGACAGACTAAAGGAGATTAACATTCAAATTAGTGAATTGCCATCTGTAAAAGCATTGGTTTACTATGGAGTGCTGACTCAGATGAGGTTAGATTCTCCTTCATGTCCTCTAAACTGGATATCAAGATGACTAGGAGGAACTTCTTGAAAGAAACGGCTAGGTTGTTTGATCCTCTTGGGTTCGTAGGTCCATTCACCATAAGAGCTAGAGGTATCCTGCTAGAGATGTGGCTATCGGGTGTTAACTGAGATGACACTTAATCCAGATCTGGAACAAAAGGCATGGGCTTGGTACCAGGAGGTTGAAAGTTTGTGCTCGCTTAGAGTTCCAAGGGGACTCACGATCAACTTGAATGCTTCAAAGAGGACGTTGCACACATTTGTAGATGCTTCGGAAGTAGCGCTTGGAGCTGTAGTTTTCTCAGTTACTATTCATGGGGATAGTCAAAGGACTAGTTATCTGGTAGCTTCCAAGTGTCGTGTAGCCCCTCTCAAGGCAGTTAGTATGCCGCGATTGGAGCTCATCGCTGCTGTTCTTGGGGTCAGACTGATTCTTACAGTAACAAAAGCATTAGACTTACCTCTACAATGTGTAACATTGTGGTCTGACAGTCAGAATGTCCTTTGGTGGATTAGAAGACAAAGTAGACGTTTTAAACCATTTGGAGCAAACAGGATTGCATTCATACTGGAACATACAAACATCAGTCAATGGAAATACGTCCCTTCCAAACAGAATACGGCAGACATTCTTAGCAGAGATGCAGATGTTGAAACCCTTTCCACTGACAAGTGGTTACATGGACCTAAATTTCTGACTCGTGATGAAGACGAGTGGCCAAAGCACTCTGACAACTGAGAAATCAGAACTAAAAAGGCCTTCTCAAGTAAACTTAGCCATGTTTACTAAATCGGACTCAAACACTGACAGGTT